TCACTCAGCCCTCGTGGTCATCAGCATCCTTTATCAGATGACACTCACAAACAAAAGGGTGAGGATTTCTGTCAGCAACCTGATTTAAGTAACAGAAATAATCAAAAAAAATAATTCATGCTCTGTTTCAAATCAGTGTAACCATCCAGCCGGGGAGAGGAATCCAAACACCATCGATGTCACCGAGCAAGCTGGTGTCAAAGGCAGGAATAAAAGAGAAAAAGCCAGCCTGGGCTCTCCCGAGATCAATAAAACACAAAGCCAGTTGGGCAGAGGGGATGATTTTCTGCACAAAGCTTTCCCCTCGCACCAGCACCGCTCAGCCCAGCCAAGCCAGGGAGCAGGGGACCCACAACGCGCCGGCTCGCTGGCACCACGACATCTGCCTGCTGCCAAACTGGATTTGGACATTTTTGCGAAGAGATTTTGTGCTCCAGAGCCAAGATGCAACAACGCCATAAATCCACCAGCTCTTGGGAAAACACACGGCGGTTGATGGGGGGAGGAGAACGCACATAGAAGGCAGCTGCACATCGACAGCATCGCCGGGTTGTGGGCAGCACAAATCCTGCCCTGGGATACACCAGAGCAACCAGGCTCAAACCTTAACTGCCTCGTGCTACAGAAAATGACTGAACCCAGGTCCGCGTGTCCTCACGCTGATGGGAAACCCCCAAATACCACAGCCCAACGCCACTGCCAGGGCTCGACGGGTCTCCAGCCCCAAGCACCAGGCACCAGCACCTCCTCCCAGGCAGGGACTCGGTGCAGGTGCCCAGTCTGGGCTCTCCCAAACGCTGTGGTGCCAGCGCTCCTCCCCAGCCCGACCACGGAGCCAGCAACCACCCCGGCTCAGCCCACACAGCTTCAGAGCCATGCGGGAGCTATTTTTGGGTTTTTTGCAAATACAGAATAAACAGGACAATGATCTTCATCCCCAATTGCAGCTGGTCCCGCTTGACCCCAGGGCGAGGGGGAGAGTCCCTGCACGTTCGAGTCCGGCGTCACACCGCTGCGTTGAAATCAAAGTCCTCGTCTTGCCTGCTGCAAGCAGCAACATCTCGTCATACTCCTCCCTGATCAAGATGAGAAGGGCAGCTTCACGGGGAACAGCCACGCTAACGGCACGCGGATCGGAAAACCCAAGCCCCTTGAAAGCAAAGGAGATCCCCTTGGCAGGAGGGGAAAGAAAAGTGAGAGCCTGGCAGGACGCATCCCCTGCCAAACTTCTGAGCCTGACTTCATTAAGGCTCCAACAATGAGAACCAGCCTCAGCAGACTCAGTAAATTACTGCTGCTGTTCTAAGCAGCACTGACAGGGAATATTCAATAGCAGACATACTCGGTGCAGTTTAAAGAGCACGTCATTATGATTTTTCTGCTTCACCTGGGACAGCAGAAGAAATCAAACTGCCACCCGGTAAGAGGAACGGCCACGCGAGGCTGCAGGGAAGGAGCACTGCAAGGGTTTACGTAGCGTTTGTGAAGCCTGAGAACACGGCACCTCCAGGATAATACCAAGATAACAGAGAACAACTTCAAAAATAAATAGAAAGGTCTTGTTTAAGAATATCAAGATTTAAGAGGAAAGCCAGAATTCCACATCAGATGCCCAAGCAAGCAAAGCCGCGTCTCCATGGAAACACATCACCTCAGAGGCTTCACATGCAAAACCCGCTATTATCCACGATTTTCAGAGAGGGAACTGAGGCAGAGAGAAGCCAAACGCTCAGATATCCAAGCGGAGGTACCGGGCTGGAAGGAGCAGAGCTCCTCCGTGCCGCAGCGACCAGACACGTGGGTCCCCTCCGCTTGTGCCAAACACGGTCAGCTCGAGCCAGGCCAGACGAGGATCTTGCTTTACAGCCAGGACATTCCCAGCACGGCGGTTGGACCGAGCGCCCAAGCTCACACCGGCTTCCCTCAGATCTGATGGCGCCGCCGCAGTGCAACACATCACTGCGCCACAACTTTCCACATCCCAAACTAAGCCTCTGCATCCCAGATCACCATCCTCGAAGTCACCCAGACATCCCACGTCCTCCTCCTGGCTCAGCAGCAGAAGTTTTTAATCCATTCTGGCTTTATTTTGCAAGGTCTCAAGAAGACAAGCAGACAAACAGTTACCAAGCATAGAGGGAACCATCCACTAAATCCTCCTTCACCAGTTTCGGAGAGCACCACGCACGCTCCCTGGAACCCAGGCAGTTCTCAGCTATCAGTAAAGCAAGATCTGAAGTGACTACTTGCCTCCGAAAGTGCAGCAAAAGGAGGTTTGCTGGCTCTGACAGAGCACAAAAGAAGTTTAATTAAACCCAGCAGCCCAGATAAAGAGGAAGTTAAGTTCTGCCTCTCTATTCCAGCACTTGAAGAAACAGCCCGTTCACGTCTTCAAGAGATCTACATCAAAGACACGGTGTTTTAAACAGAAATCCCTTAGAGCAGGAGTAATAGTTCACGATCAGAGCAATGTCGCTGTCTGAAGGAACACTTCTTGAAGGGAAGAAAAGTGAAAAAACACTGAAAATCAGCTTCCCAACTGGCTGCTCCACATCCTGGGGTTTTGGGGGGGTTTTGTGGTTTGGTTTTTTCTGTTTTTTTTCACATGAAGCCAGCCTGCCAAACAGGGGTTACACCAGCTCTTTGTCAGACACAAACCAGAGAGCTACAGGCACATCTAGAGCAAAAACGAAGATAGAAATTCCAACCTCTGGTGCTTTTGCTGCCCCACTGCCACGCAAACCCTCGACCACCAAGCAAGGACCTGCTCCCAGCGAGCCCAGGAGCCCTAGAAGCAAATCCGGCACGATCGCCTGTGGATCTCTGGCACCTTCCTCCGAGAGAGCTGGTCCTGGCCACATGGCAGCAGGGCAGGGGATGCCCCC